CATACACATACACATACACATACACATACACATATACATATACATATACATATACATATACATATATGCACTCAAATGTTGTACATAAAGTGCCAATGTCTTAAATGCCTCTTTACTTAGCAATTTCCTTTTGACATCCCCTTCCCCGTTTATCTAAACTTTCTGTTATAGGAGTCCCATGCTGCCCAGCTACAGATTTTGATGGAATTCCTGAAGGTTGCCAGGAGAAATAAGAGAGAGGTAACATAACCTACTTTGATTTACTACTATTAGAAACATTTTTCATTACCCTCTTTTAACTAATGCAGGTTGGGTTATCCCTTTTTAAAAAGTGTGATGGGTGGCAATCTTGCCCAGTTTATTTCAAACACATCAATCTGAAGAATTTTAGACCATGCTAATTATGACATGTGGTTTTGATTTTCGTACTTTTGACTTGAATTGCATGATTCTTTTGCTTAACTTTTCATACCTTTGGGGAGAGAAGCTTGTCAAGTAAAGTTATTTGTTGGCAGTTGTATCAAATTCTTGAAATAAATTGTAGCTGGCATGAAATTTGTGTAGTTTTACAACAATTGTTACTATATCTCTGGCGAAGGGTTTTTTTTTTTTAAATCTTAATTTGAAAGGCCTATTACATTGCAAGTACATATGTTTTTGTAGATTTTTTTCTTTTGAGCAGTACTGAATTAATGTTGATTTCAATCTCCTCCTTACAAAAGAAGAGTAAAATGAAATATTGATTCGTTAATTGGAGAGCTTACAGAACTTTCCCATAATTGTCATAATTGATTTAGTGTGGGAGAAGGGATACATCTTGACAATTGCAAGTTTTATCTACTTGTATAAATGCCAAAAGAGAACTTATCCTGAAAAAGCCAGTGTGAATATTTTACCTTTTTCAAACTTAACAATTCAACATGACTCAAGGAAATGACTATAGATGGATTTATAACACATACTATTACAGATTCCCCCCAGCTATGTTTTGTATATTTCTGTTACATGTGATTATCTAGGGCTTGTATTTAAACAAAATCAGTTTTATTCCTAAATACGTACAGAAAATTGAAAGTTTTGAAGTCATTTTTAGAATGTCCCCGAAACTGTGCTGCTTGGATAAATTATGTGTAATCTCATGAGATACTTCTCCAACATTGTCCCATCAAATTTAGATTTGAAGATTAGGTTCCAAATTTAGAATGGAATAAACCCTTGTGGTTCTAAAACAAAATGGGGGTTAAGCATAGTATTCACCTTGAAATTGGTACATTTGTATTTTAGTATTATAAGTTGAGCTGATCATATTTATACTGAAGGGCAGCTTGCAATTTTTTAAAAAATAAATGAAAGGCAGTTGATATTTAGCATATATTTCAAACAAGAGACAAACAAACAGTGCTTCTGTAATTATGTAAACTTTTTCAAGTGTTTCTTTTGGTGATACTGAAACAAATATAACTTAAGTACAACTTTTCTGCAAATAGCTTTTTTGCCTGCTGCATAATGTCGTTAGCATCTTATTATATAAGGTGATATATAGATGTAGTCATACGTATCTAAGCCACTGATCTTACTGGTTTTTTATAAATAGCTAATCAATGGCTTGGTTTAAACATCACAGCTGTAAGTATGGTAATGCATGTAGCCTGATGACTACTGGGCTGCTCTTGCTGAATAAACCAGTGAGGGTCTGTATATGATTTTGTTTGGAATTATGTTCAGTCTGGGATCCCTGGTTGATTATTCTCCTCATAAACCACAATTTGAGGCCATGTGCAAAGGAAGAATGTTATCACCCAGATAAGCAGAGATTAACACCAAGATTATCACCAGACATACAATCAAGCAGTAAACAATATCCTAATCAAGGAACTACAGTAAAAACAAACAAACAAAAACCCCACCAACATTGACAGGGCAAGCCACCGTATATAAACAGAGAGCAAACTCCACTCCATTCTAGCACTGAAGATGTTACCTAGCCGGGT